GCATCCTGGCCCATCCTCACCCTTCTGCCCCCAACCCTCACCTCCTTGTACCCCCAATATGTTTTTCCCAATAAAAAAAATATTTAAAAAAATTCCTCAAAACCATTTCCAAAGAAATTAATAGCTTCCTATGTTGAAAGAAAACCTAGTGGCGGTTCCCTGACTTTAAAATGTTTATTGAATATTGTTAACTAAAAGCACAACCCAAAACCCTAAAAGCTAAGTTAACTATAGGCACTTAGTAAAACGTCTCCACATTTCACTGTAACATATTATGTTTTCATTTTTAAAATACCTGGAAATCACTCTTATGAAAATTAAATGGCAACTCCAAAAGAAAGGTATATTACAGAGACAAAACGTAAAGCTCCAATTTAAGTTGTAATCAAGCAGGTTTAAGTTAGACGAATTTTGCATTGGCCACTTAATGGTTTGAAATTTAATATTCAGAAACTGTCATAGATGAACTGTAAATATAGTATGAATAGAGAAATACTGATCATTACTTCCTAAAACTTCTCTTACCCCAGCTATATAATTTGGACTTGGTTTTATTAACTCTCAGTTCTGAAAAACAAAGACGAGTCAAACCACTCCCTGGAGAAAAAAATATGCCTTGATAAAATATGCGGCTCCTCAATTTGAAATAACTCCACAAATTAGGGGACATATTAAATTTCAAAGAAATCAAAATTTCAAAAAATCATGAGGCAATCTGGCACGCTAAGTCAATGCTAGACAAATCCTAGCAATTCTCTCAATTGAATTTTCTGTGAAAGATATTATAATATAAAATACCCCAAAGACCTCAGTTTATAACACTAATAAATTATTAGAAGAAAAGAGTAACACAATGGAAATGTGATAAAATTGAGACTGGCCACCAACTCCATTGCCTCTAACAGGTTTGAAATTAGCTGCCTGAGACTTGGGTCAAAAAGCTGGTCTTCCTAATAATCACATGTGATATATTTTAAGTCAGTATATATATATATGTGTGTGTGTATGTATATGTGTGTGTATATATATATATATATATATATATAATGCCTTAGCAATAGTCTATTCACATCTGATATGTTTTAAGTCAGTAAATATATATATATACACACACACATACATACAATGCCTTAGCAATAAAGGGTGTGCTGCCATCCCACAAAGGCATGGGTTTGGAAAGATGGATAGTCTCCTCCCATGCAATTTATTTCCTCTGAAAAACTGTTGGAGAGTGAGCTATGTGTCAGTTCCAATTCGGTATGACCTGACAACATGGGTGGGGGGGGTATGTGTGTGTGTGTGTGAGAGATATCTAAAAAAAAAAACCTTCCTCATGTGTGACAAGCATGATTGTTTACTACTTGACATGCGTCCTGTTGTTGCCTTCAAGTACAGTCAAGTTGGTTCCAAAACATAAAGATTCTATTGTTCACCAAAACAAAACAACTACACCGTATTCATAATCATTGTCATGTTAGAACTCCTTGTTGCAGTCTCATTCAGTCTTCCTCTATTTGTTAACTATCAAGCACGGTATCTTTCTTCATGTCTCCTTGTAACATGTTCAATATGTATGAGATGAACTTTCACTATCCTTGTATCTAAGAAACACCTTGGCTTCACTTCTTCCAAAACATACTTATTTGTTCTAACATGCAGTTTTCTATATGCTCTAATATTATGAGGGGGAAATGTGGCATCAGGATTGGAGAAAACTCATCAACAAACTGTTATTATGCAGATGATACACTCCTGCTTGCCGAAACTGAAGAGGACCTGAAGCATTTGCTGCAGGTCAAGGACTGTAATCTTCAATATGGATTGAAGATCAACATCAAGAAGACAAAGATTCTTACCACTGGACCAATTGGTAGCACAATGATAGATGGAGAAGAGATTAAAGTCGTTAATCATTTTAGTGTGCTTAGCTCCACAATCAACACTCTTGGCATGAGCAGCCAGGAAATCAAAAGACGAGCTGCCTAGTAAAACACTGCTGTCAGGGATCTCTCTAAAGTGCTAAAGAGTAATGATGTCAGTCTAGGGAGTTAGGTGTGCCTGATCAAGACCATGGTCTTTGCAATAAGTTGTTATGCATCATAAAGCTGGACAATGATTAAGGCTCATAAAAGAACAGTCAATGCCTTTGAATTGTGGTGCTAGAGAAGAGCCTTGAACATACCATGGAACACAAAGAGAACAAAGAGGTCTTTTTTTGGAGAGGGTAAAACCAAGTTCCTCCTTGGAACTTGGATTTTTGAAGCTATATCTTACATATTTTGGGCATGTTGCCAGGAGGGACCAATCCTGGAAAAGAACATCATGCTTGGAAGGATGGAGGGACAGCAAAGAAGAGGAAGCCTCTGGATGAGATGGATTGACACAATAATAGGGATAGGTGTGTTAGAGTCAGTGAGAATGGCCCAGAATAGAGCAGAGTTCACAGCTATTTCACACAGGGTTGCTATGAGTTGCAGGTGACTCAATGGCACATAACAACAACATGGTATATTCAGTATTCTTTCCCAATGCTCAGTTCAAAGGTTCTTTGGTCATCTTTATCCACTGTCCAACTTTCACATACACATGAGATGACTGAAAATACCGTGGCTTATGTCAAGTTCAACTTAGTCCTTAATGTAGCATCCCTGCTGTTTAGTACTTTCAAGAGCTCCTTTGCAGCAGAAGATGTGAAGTATCTGCTGTCAAGCAGTGCTGTCTTCAATATGGATTGAAGTTCAACATCAAGAAAACAAAGATTCTCAGCACTGGGCCAATTGGTAGCACCATGATGGGGAAAAGATTGAGGTTGTTAACAATTTTAGCTTGCTCGGGTCCACAATGAACACTCTTCGAACCAGTAGCCAAGAACACATAACGGAATTTTAAAATGTCAATCATATACTAAGTAAAAAATATCAGGGTATAAATGCAATAATGTTTATTATAACTAATATTATCTCCACTATGTTGTTGACATTGGGTGCCATCAAGTAACCTGTGACTCACAACAACCGTCTGAGCAACAGCTCTGAATCTTGTGGCATCCAGCATCATCCTCTGATCTCTGATATGCTCAAGCCCATTGCTGTGGTCTCTGTGTCAGTCACTGTGCCGTCTTGTTGCACCTCCTCCAAGGTGGACTTACTTGTTTGCTCTTGAGTCTATTCCATGAGAATTTAACGTTGATGACATTTGATATATAAATTTCTATTTTATACATTACACATAAAGAGGGATCTCAGGTGGCCTAATGATATGAAGCTGTGCTACAATCTCAAAGGCTTGTGGATCGAATCCACCAGAGGCTCCATGGGAGAAGGATGGGCTGTCTCCTCCCCTGTGATTTACTGCCTCTGCAAATCCACTGGAGGTTCGGCTATGGGTTGATTCCAACTTCACAACAGACATCAACAACAACAACACAAGCACACGCAGAGACACAACTGAAGAGCTCTCTGAATCAGGATTTCTCAATCTAAGACCACTGGTATTTTGAACCGGGTGATTCTTTGTGAAGATTAACAGTATCCATGGACTCTACTCAGGAGACAGCAGTGGGAGCAGCAGCTCCCAAGCTGTAAGAGCCCAAAAGGCCGAAGGTGAGCCACGGCCCTGGATGGAAGCATCCATCCACATTGTCCTCTTTTCACCTTTGTGCAGCTCAGTACTTTCCAAGTTTTCAAAAATTGCTACGTGTTACATTTGTAACCCAGGAAGAAAAGTGTTACTGTAAAATGCGAACTCATTAATAAGAAAAAGAATGATTCATATTTTATAAGACTAAACTGCAGTAATGAAAAATATGTATTCTAGGAGTTTTAGCTATTGTGATTTTTTTTCCATTAGAAATTCCTAGTAACTGCTTAAAGGAACGAAAAAGAAAATAAAACAAGAGGGGAAATATTGCAGCAGTCTCCTCTACCTGCGTCAGGAATGTCCGAGCAGTAACAGTAGAAAGAGGTGGATAAATCAGAATTGGCTTCGTTGTCTCTCCGATAGCATTGCCAATAAGCTTTCCATTAGAAGAATAAGCAGCAATTGCAAATATGTATTTTTCATTGGTTTCTAAGCCTTTCACTTCAAAAATGCTTTTACCATCAGCTGGTATCTATTAACAAAAACAAACTTCAAGTTATAAGCGGAAAATGAAAATAATGTGACTTTGAAGACATAATTAAGTAAACCATGCATAAAAAAAGGAAACCTTTTTATCTACTGTTGGGTTTTAGTTGTGACTTGAGTTGGAATTAGAGCCAATGAAATAACGACTTAGTAAGAAAAAAAAAATATTCAATTGTCATTAAGGAGGCTGGTAGTAAGATTTCCTGACATTTAAGAGGCTTTTGGTTGTGTTGTATTGTTTTAATTTGGCATACCGCTTCTCCTGCGTTTGGGAGATGGTTTTTGTTTAGCCTGACTTTTCCAAAGCTTCCTTCTGCTTTGCAACCCAAAATGCAGTACCAGGAGACCTGCGGAGGAGAGGGGAGAGCCATCACCTGTGTCTGTTTAACAAAGCTTTCATTCCCTAGCCCCCCCTCCAAATGTGGCAAAAAGGAATAGCTCTCTAAATAAAGATGTGATTATTCAAGTTTTAAAACATGAAATTTAAATTTACATATACATTTAAGTTTAATCTTGAGAAAGGAAAGGCAAAGAGATGGCTAGCTCACCTTGGACTATCAAGACTAAAACAGTCAACAGACTTGACGGCACATAACAACAACAACCACCATTAACTGAGCAAGACCAAACAGCCAAATATTATTAGGAAATTTATATGCACATTGTAACACTGACACCATCCCTTTGTGAGGCAGTACCACTGACATTTTGCTTTAGAGGAAAGAGAGAGACAGATGGGAAATAACTTGCTCATGATCACATAGATAGCTATGGGGGCTGATGTCAAAGATGATTTTAAACTTAATAGCAAAAAGAAGAACAACATTGGAATAATTTTTATATTTTGCTTAAGGATATAAGACCCCCCCAAAAAAAAAGAAGTCAAGGAGGAGAAAGATACTACACTGTAGTATTTAAAATAAAACATAAAAATACATGTGAAGATATCTGGAAGAAAATACCCCTTAAATAACCAGTGTAAGGAGGCTTGGATGCTAAAAGAGTTATACTATGAACAATTTTTTCCTCTGGTTTATAAATCTTCTGAAACATAATACCCCTTTGGTATCCTTAATAAACAGACAAAAACCAAACATAAATCCCTGTTACATAGAAACAACCAATCTTGAATTTGATTAAATGGTTAGGCAAGTTATCGCAATAATGAGGATTCCTTGCTGCAGTGAATTAGGCTCACTAACAAGTCAGTGTAGGGAGAAGAGAACAAGTCGATACCTAGGAAGCTGGTGTTAGGAACGTCTTAAGCTGTGTACAGTGGAGCTCTGGTGCTGTGGTCTGCACGGAGCAGCACGGAGCTGCTAATGCAAAACCCACACCTGAGCCCACCAGAGGCTGCATCATGGAAAGATGGACAATCCCCTCTCCTGAATTTACAGAGTTGGAAATTCGATGTAGGGTCAACCATGAGTTGGTTCCAACTTGAAAACAGTGAGCCAGCCAGCCATCGAGTTTACCAGGGTTAGGGAAAAGGATATCCTTTTCTCCCTAAGACTCCACCTGACAACATATCAACCTTTAAACCACAAAGGAAGCCCAGAAGATGAAAGAAGGCAATTATCTGTAGGAAACAACTGCACCTTACAGTTTATGACGGCTACAATTTCCAGCACAATAGAAAAATTCTAATGAAGTCAGCTTTATGCCAATGGTTCAATCCTATGTGTCAGAAACTTTTTTTAAGAAAACAAAGCTTCCAGATACCCAAACTCATCTGACTTCTGTGAATTATGGTTTCTGGTACAGCTTGTGCAGGCTGGACGATTTCCTATGAAAATGTCTCAGGTGGCTGTAATGTGCACATCTGATTAAGCAGTACTTGTCAAATGCAGGCAGATTCAAGGCAGAGAGGTTAAAGAAACTTGGAAACTAGAAATTGGGTAGAAATCTTAGAACTCTATCTTTTTATTGTGATTTTAACCAAAGTTTACAGAAGTTGGATTTTCATTCATTCATGATTGCACATTTTCCTCCCTCCTCCAAATTCACTTAAAAAATTTTTCTTTCTTTTTTTCTTATTTTGAATTCTTTTACTTTTTAGGAAAGTTTAACCTTGCTTTCTTTTGTTTTCTTTTGCACCAAAAATACCATTTTTATTAGAAAACAAAGCCAAATCCAGAATGACCATGTTATATGTCTTAGATTGTTATTGCTTTAAGTTAAGATTTTACTCTTCTATATAAACCAGGATTTGTTGGGTAAAGTATACTCTAGAAGCAATTTTATAAGCTGGCTTTATGGTTTTGTTTTCTTTTATTCCATTGGTGTTTTCCCTTAGTTTGTGTAACTGTAAGAAGCAAAGTATACTTAAAATACACATAAAAGATACTACACACAAGTCACTGTTTATAAATAACATAAATAGCACAGAATTTTCAACTGTAAAAACAGATTTCAACAAAATGAATGCCCTAAAAAGAGATTTTTCTAACACAAAAGATGGCCGAAACCGCAAATAAGAAAGCTTAGTTAATCCCACACCACCATCTAGTGTTGAACAAAGGTACAGCATGATGGTTTTCAGAAGCAATACAACTCTGTTAAATACATGAACTTCACAGTGTACTAATGAATCCAAAGGTTAAAGACCATCAGACTTTTACATTGTATTATTTACAAATATTATCATGTAAAAGAGTTTAACACATTTAATGTAATAAATAAGATTTTGGTTAAAAACACAAAAACAATTGAACTCAGTAGGTCAAACAATCTTAGTTCTGTGTTGAATTTCTAAAATGAAAGAAGCCTTATTCTTAAACAGTTTCACAAGCATATAAAGACAAACTATATTTATAGTAATCAATATATAATTTTCTTATTATAGCATGGTTATGCATAGGATGAATGCTACTCCTATTCTCCCACTTAGAAAGCACTGTGAAGGTGCTATTGCTTTACACTGGGTATCTGTTTGCCCTAAAGGATAAAACCATGCTTTAGTTATGTTTAGCTTTCAGCATCACATAGAACTAGACAGATACTAGGCAATTAATGCTGTTTTGATTAAATCTGTGACAAAGATCACTGGATAATGTAATCACAGTCTATATATAAATCCATCCATTGTTTTGACCAAAACAATGGCTACCTGCATTGTTACATATTAACTCATTTAATTTTTACAGTAAGACCACCTTAAAAATGAATAAAAACCCAAAAATTAAGGAAGTAAATGTATTTCTCTAGAATTTGAAACTTTCATGACTCCAAACCCTGTGCTCTTTCTGCTAGAACAATATCCTGCAAATTCAAGCAGAGCACCCAAAAGTGGATCCAAGATAACAACATTAGGAATACAACATCAGTCGATAAGCTGTTGATCATCCAAAAAAGGAACATTAAAATCCCAACTCTAAGAGTTCACTGTTGACAAAGAACCAAAAGCTTAATCAGGCCATAAACACAGTAAAAGGTTCCATTTTTACATTCATAACAGTACCCAAGTTGCTTTGCATGAAGTATCATAAAGCATCGTACCTTCTCATCTGAGATAAACGGGGCCGGTTTGAACGTTACCGAACAATGAGTTCGGGAGAGCAGAATAGGTGGAGGAGGGCTTTTCCATTCCTTTCCTTTCACATTGTCCAGGTCTTTCTGATATAAATACAGAGCATTTTGTTCTGCCTCTGTTTTCTCAATTAAAGAATATGCTTCCTATAGTGAAGTGTGAAAAGAAAACTGCATTTCAGGAGCCGGAACTTCATTAGTACTTGCACAATCCTGGTGCCGTTAAACAAGATTATTTTGCTATAGGTCATTTTTTGCGCCTCAGAGTTATACATGTATTTCAAGCATGAAATTATTTTCAGAAAATAAATTGCTCACTAAATAAGGTAGCAAGATCAGCAATGATATTATATGTATTTGCTTAGCATGTGCACCGTTACCACACATGACCATGAAATACTTCATTTTTAAAATGAAGCATTTTTAATACTTACCAGCATATGTAATTGCCCTTAAAAAGTTCATAAACAAATAATTTACCTTTATACTGGTGATCTTTAGGCCCACCTTTACTATGTTCACTATCAAAGACTAAAACTTATTGTTCCATGTGGTTTATAAAATGAGTATTATTGAGGGTTTCTTAACATCAGCAAGAATTAAAATAGACAAAAACACTTACTGTTTAGACCTGAAGAAAACAATTCCCCCTTCCCTTTTTAAAGGGTACACTGTGAGAGAAAAGAAAATCCTAAAAATTCAGAGACTCTAAAGAGTACTTCAAAAGCAAGATTAAATATATCAGCCATCAAAAATGAATGTAAAGACATTAAAACTTTAAGTTAAGGTAAGAAGAAAATAATTTCTAATTAAACTCAAAACATTGAAATACTTTTTGTAAAATGAACAACAAAATTTTGACAAATTGTAAACTGCATTGCAATCACAAAGGTATGTGGCTCGAATCCACCAGTTGCTCTTCAGGATAAAAAGTGGGCAGTCTCCTCAGATGAGGTTTACTGACTGAAAACTCACTGGAGGGTCAGCTATGGGTAAATCCCAACTAACGATGCACAGCACCACTAATGAAAGAACAAGATATTGGCATACAAAAATAAAAGTCAAACTCTTAATATCATTTAAAACTACTGACTCAAAATTAATCATAATCCTAAATGCTAAGAGCTAAAACCAAAAAAAATCTTGAAAGAAAATATTGGAGAATTTTTTTATGACCCTGTGTTGTAAATACAGATGACACTACCATGCTTGCTAAAACTGAGGAGGATCTGAGGCATTTGCTGCAAAAAGGACAAAAAGAAGAAAACAAAGATTCTCATCACTAGGCCAACTGGCAGCTCCTTGATGGATGGAGAAGAGACTGAAATTATTCACAATTTCAGCTTGCTCAGTTCCACAAGTCAGGAAATCAAAAGATGAACTGCATTAAGAAAATCTGCTGTCAGGGAACTTTCCAGAGTGCTGAATTACAACAATGTCAGACTGAGATGCTCCTGATCCAGGCCATGATCTTCAATATTACTTGCTATGCAGCAGAGAGCTGGACAATGTCTAAGGATTCTAAGAGTCAATTCCTTTGAGCTGTGGTGCTGAAGAAGAGTGCTGAACATACCACGGACAGACAAGAGAACAAGCAAACATGTCTATCCTGGGAGGGTGAAACCAACTTCCTCCTTGGAGGCAAGGATTTTGAGGCCCTAGCTCATATTTTGAGCATGTTGCTAGGAGGAACCAGTCCTTAGAGAAGAACATCATACTTGGAAGTGTGGCAGGACAATGAACGAGAGAAAGGCTCTGGATGAGATGGATTGACACAGTGACTGGGAAAATAGAGGTAGGTGTGCTGGAAGCAGTGAGACTGGCTCAGAATGGAGCAGGATTCAGAGCTATTGTACATAGGAACACTATGAGTTGCAGGTAACTCAACAGCACATAACAAGAAGACTGGGGTAACAGGGTTGGAAAGGGAGAATGACTTCAATTAGTGTTTTCCTTGATATAATGCAGATGTTCTAAAATTAAATAGCAGTAAAGGTTATACAACTCTGGGAAGGGTGTGCCCCAGGGATGTGTCCTATCTCGATAACTTTTCAACCTGTATGCAGAGCAGATTATCTGAGAGGCTGGGCTTTATGAGGAGATGCGTGGCGTTAGGATTGGTGGACGATCTATCAACAATCTGCGTTATGCAGATGACACAATCTTGCTCGCTGAAACTGAGGAGGACTTCATGCACTTACTGCAGAGGGTCAAGGACTGCAGCCTTCAGTATGGACTAAGGCTCAATGTCAAGAAGACAAAGATTCTCACCACTGGACCAATTGGTAGCATCAGGATGGATGGCAAAGATTTTGAGATTGTTCCCAGCTTCAATTTGCTCGGCTCCACAGACAACACTCTTGGCACCAGCAGCCAGGAAATCAAAAAAACGTTTTGCGATGGGAAAATCTGCTGTTAGCGACCTCTCTAAAGTACTCAAGAGCAACGGTGTCTCTTTGCAGACAAAGGTGCACCTGATACAGGCCATGGTCTTTGCAATCACTTGTTATGCATCAAAGAGCTGGACAATGACTAGGGAGGACAGAAGGAGAATTGACACCTTTGAGCTGTCGTGCTGGAGAAGAGTATTGAATGTACCATGGACTGCCAAGAAAACAGATTCATCTTAGAGAGGGTTAAACCAGGCTACTCCTTGGAGGTAAAGATTCTGGGGCTTCGTCTGACATACTTTGGCTATGTTGTAAGGAGAGACAGGTCTTTGGAGAGGGACATCAGGCTGGGTAGAGGGACAGCACAGGAGGGGAAGACGCTCTATGAGGTGGATTGATTCAGTGACTGGGGTAATTGGGATGTGTGTGTCAGGGGCAATGCAACTGGCACAGGATAGAGCAGGGTTTAGGGCTGTTGTACATAGGGTCGCTATGAGTCGCAAACGACTCGACGGCACATAACAACAACAACATACTAAAAATGACTGGATTATACATTTTATTTTCTTTTACTTTCATTTTAGTTTTCGAAGCAACATGGAAATTTTATAAACATTTTGCCTCATGATATTGGTTGCGATTCCCACAATGTAACATTCTTCACACTGTCACACTGTGTTCCCAGGTTCCGATTTGCCCTTTCATGCCCTTTGACTTTTGCTCTCGAGCAAATGCTGTCCTTTTGATCTTTTATGGTCTTTTTCCTGGGGAGTACATTCTTCCCCAGTGTCATCATTCACATTGTAGGTCTATTTTTGGTTGAAAGTTGATCTCTGGGCGTGTGGATCAATTACACACATTATGAGTATAAATGCAGTTTTATGTGAGTTTATGCCTTAAGAAAATTGTGGAATGAAAAGAAGAAAGGGGGAAAGATGGAACAAAGGGAGAAGGAAGGAAAAAATTGGTGGTGGCAGTGGTTTTAGCACTTTCAGGTGTCATATGTGTAGGTTTGGCACATATTGGCTTTATGTACAAGGAAATGAAATACTATCCACTCCTACTCTGTGCTCTCAATCACTGTTATTATTTAGTCTACCTTTGCAGACACTGTATAAATCCATCTCATTAAAAGTCTTCCTCTTTTTTGCTGACCCTCTGCTTGCTCTCTCTTAGTTATCTGTCATTGTTGTTGTTATGTGCTGTCATGGAATCAACTCCAATGAGTTTTCAGAAGTTGCCAATCTCAGGGGAGGAGACTTCCCATCCTTCTCCCTAGGAGTAGGTGGTGGATTTAAACCACCTGCCTTTGGGTTGGCAGCGCAACTCCTTACCACCTATGCTGTAACAGTGAAACCTAAAACGGATGGCTTTAACAAACTGAAATGCATTGTGTTACAGCTTAGGAAATTAGATGTCTAAATTTGGAGTGCAGCTCTAAGGGAAGATTTTTCTCTCTGTATTGGTTTTAGAGGAAAGTCCATGCCTCCCTCAGCACCTGCTGAGCTGGTATTCCTCGGAGTTCTTTCTACATCTGCATTGCCCTTATGTCAGTTTTCTGGTGCGAGAACCTGGGTCCAAACAGCATTCTCTACTCCCAGAACTTCTGCCTTGGTGATACTGACATACCCACTCAGTTTCCTACCGTTTTATATCTTGTGTTATAAGAAATATTACAATGCAGGGAAACTCCTCTAATATCAAAACAGGTCTGTGATGAGATTAAGGGCACTATAGTCTATCATTAACTTTTCATAACTATCTGCTTTATAAGATGATGAGGGCTCATTACATAGCATCTACATCTATTCTGGGGAGACAGAGCACAATCCATGACAACATCTTTCTATAGGTATTGATCTCTCCTGATAACATATCCAAAATCTGATACATTTCATCATTCTTTCTCAATGAGTATTCTTTGGACTATATTTCTTCCAAGACAGATTTGTTAGTTCTTCTGACAGTTCATGGTAAATTGAATATTCTTTGAGAGACCATAATTCAAAAGCATCAGTTATTCTTTTAAAAAATTCAAAACTCATTGCCATTGATCTGGATTGAATAATAGCCAATCGGTGTTGTTGTTGTTGTTGTTGTTGTTGTGTGTCATCATGTTGATTACAACTCATAACAACACTATGAACGACCTTCTCCTAAGCTGAGCAATCTCATTTTCTCTGACACACCTGAACTCATTGCCACAGTCAGTGTGTCAATCCATCTCATCCAGGGTCATCTTCTCCTGCTTTGACCCTGCATCCTTCCAAGCATGATGTCCTCCAAGGACAGGTCACTCCTGACAACACACTCAACATACGTTAGATGGAGTCTCAAAATCCTTGCCTTCAAAGAGCAACCTAGTTTCACCCTCTTTAGGACAGATCTGCTCATTTTCTTGGTGGTACATTCTATGTTCAATCCTCCTCTCCAGCACCATAAATCAAAGGCATTGATCCTTTTTCTGTCATACTCATTCACTGACTAGCTCTCAGATGCATAGCAAGTAATTAAGAAGACCATGGTCTGGACCAGGTGCACGTAAGTCTCTAAACTGACACTGTTGCTCTTTAGCACTGTGGAGAAGTCCTGAATGATAGATTTTCCCAAAGCAACTTTTCTTTTGATTTCCTGTCTGTTCATACCAAGGCTGTAGATTGTAGCTCCAAGCAGGACAAAATCATGAATAATTTCAATCTTTTCTCCATCTATCAAGATGCTGCCTATTTAGCCAGTGGTGAGGATCTTTGCTTTCAT